GAGGAGGAGGAGGAGGAGGAGGAGGAGGAGGAGGAGGAGGAGGAGGAGGAGAAGGAGAAGAAGAAGAAGAAGGAGAAGAAGAAGGAGAAGAAGGAGAAGAAGAAGAAGAAAGACGAAGAAAGAAGAAAGAAGAAACATGAAGAGGAAGAGAAGAAGAAAAAGAAAGATAAGAAAAAAAAAGAAAACATCGGCACAAAGCCAGCTTCCAGGCCAACAGCCACGGCCTAAACGGGAGCGGTCAAAACAAACACTCCACGCCTCCACTCCCGCACTCCCGCTCTTCCACAGCCCACTCCCACTCTCCCAGAGCCCACTTCGGCACTCCCACACTCCCGCTGCCCACTCCCGAGCCCACGCCTTCACTCCGCACACTCCTCGAACCCACTCCCACAGCCAACTCCCTTATTCTCGCTGCCCACTCCCTCGCGCCCACTCCCTCACTCCCACACTTCCCGAGCCCACTCCCCGAACCCACTCCCGTCGAGCCCACTCCCGTACCCCCACGCCTACTCCCTCACTCTCCAAACCCACTCCCGTACCCCCACAACCCACTCCCGAGCCCACACCCCACAGCCCACTCCCTCACTCCCCCGAGCCCACTCCCGCAACCCACAGAGGACGTGTGAATTCATCAAAGCGCCACTTTGGGGAAATCACGCGGACCGCAGCGCCCCCAGACCCGACCATATTCGACGGCTCCTGTATGTCATTTGCCTAATTAATCGATTATTCAAATCGGCATTTCATCGCGGGTTCAAATAAGGGTTCAGGCTATCGGTGCAACCACGCGGACGAGAGGGGGGGGGGGGACGAAGCCGGTGGTTCTTGTTCTTGAAGTTTTTTTCATAAGGAGGAAGAGGGGGAAGAGGAGGGGAAGAGGAGGAGGAAGAGGAGAGAAGAGGAGGAGGAAGAGGAGGAGGAAGAGAGAGAGAGGAGGGGGAGGAGGAGAGAAGAGGAGGAGGGGGAAGAGGAGAGAAGAGGAGGAGGGGAAGAGGAGGAGAAGGAGGAGGAGGAGGAGGAAGAGGACGAGGAGGAGGAGGAGAGGAGGGGGAAGAGGAGGACGAAGAGGAGGACGAAGAGAAAAGGAGAAGGGAGAGGAGGAAGAGGAGGACGAAGAGAAAAGGAGAAGAAAGAGGAGGAGGAGGGGAAAATGAAGAGGAGGAAGAGGAAAAGGAGAAGGAGAAGGAGGAGGAGGGGGAAGAGGAGGAGGAGGGGAAGAAGAGAAGGAGGGAGAGGAAAAGGAAGAGGAGGAGGAGGAGGAGGAGGAGGAGGAGGAGGAGGAAGAGAGGGATAAGAAGAAGGAAGAGGAGAATAAAAAAAAACAGTCTAGATGGAACTGCTAATTTCAGAAATCCCTTCATTCCTACCAGCGGCTTTGACCCGGCCCTTCCCCGGCAGCCCAACCTCGCGCTTCCGAACCAGCGAACAAAACGGCATCTCCCGCGGCAAAGATTTATGCCTACTCAAAGCGCGGACATCCCCGCGGACTCTGAAGAAGGACCCGTACTTTTTCGAGACCGCGGAAAACCGGTCGCTTAGTCGATCGCCTGTCCGTCCAGCCAGGCTCCAGACGTCACAATAAATCACCGCCGTCAGGAGTCAGCATCGGCGCGATCTTGTTAAGTCGACAATTAGTTTTGACCTCCGATGCGATTGCGGCTAACATAGCTCATGCCGTTATCTGTACAGCGGCGACGTCCTCCCTTATCGCGGCTTTATATCAGGCCGCTCCTCTCCGCCCCTGGTTTCTGGGCGATTCAATTAATTCTCGGACGGGGCTGGAAAAGCTCTTCAAGACGATAACATCCACGTCCTTCTGAAGAGTTTCCAGTTACTACAAGGCATGTATAATATTTGGGAAAAAAAGAAATAAAGATATCTACCTATATAATTTATGCTAATGAATGAAGATGAAGAATTAGAAAGAGATAAAATTATAACTGTATAATATATAAGATAGACATTTACTGCCGTGTTAAAAATAGAAGCCTGTATTACAAATGAAGGAGACCGTCGACAAAATACATCACAAATAAGACTATCTTGGCCTACATTTTTTCATATTTTTTTCCAGGATCATAAAAGGCGAAAAGAACTAGAACGAGAGCCTCGGTTTTAAAAATTCTCAAAAGGCCTGGCAAAAGAGGCGACCGATAAGGAAGGCAGAGACGAGCTCCCCGACCCAGGTCTTCTTCGGTCATGTAGACGAATAAATAAACGAATAAAAAAATAATAAATGCCTCACGTTATCAAGGCTCCAAATGGAATTAGCATAATCTCACGGCACTTTGAATCATTCTGAATAATATGCCGTCGTGTCTAAATGTAAAATATCTGGCAGACAACGAACGGCAATTCGCAACTGAATTTTGACGATCACAGAGAGCACAGCGAGGCCGATCTCTAAACCAAAACAACAAAACCTAAAACCTAAAACCTAAAGCCTAAAACCTAAAACCAGTGCACTCGAGAGCACGTACAAGAAGAGTCCTCGCGCCGACATACCAGCGCCGGCCCGGGGAGAGACAGACCGATGGCCGAATATGATCGATCTAGCGGTACACGGCGGTTCGTAATTGGAATAATTGCCGATTGTATTCTTGAGTGCAGATGTTGGGTCCAGATCGCCGTGCTGAACCATAGCCGCAGGGGGAAGGGGTAGGGGGGAAGGGGGAGGGTGTTAGCTCTAGTTAGCATGTGGGCCCCCTCAAGGACCTGGGGAGGCAGGCGAAGATTTGCCCCAGTGTTTATTTGGGTTTCCCTAAATCTACAGTCCTTATGGGGTAATTGAGCGTCCTTATGTTTCCCTCGGCGACCTGATAAGACCAAATTACAAGCGCGTTTCTGACCCGTCGTCGGCGATGAGCCCACGAGATGATCGGAATATCGCCTTTGGTTACTTCCACTCTGTCAGATTTTTCAAACTACTTTATTTTTCTCATACTAACTGAAAATCGGATACGTTATGTCAAAACTCTCCCTCTCCCTCCCCCCCTCCCCCCCCCCTCTCTCTCTCTCTCTCTCTCTCTCTCTCTCTCTCTCTCTCTCTCTCTCTCTCTCTCTCTCTCTCTCCCTCCCTCCCTCTTCCGCCCTCCCTCTCCCTCTCATTCCTAACATTTTTTGAAAATCGGATGTGTTACTCACAGCTGAGCTTAAACCCCTATCACCAGTACTGCCTCTGACACATTAAGGTTGTAGAAGCCACGCAAACGCACTCACACCCACACACGCTTCATGAAAACCAACCTGTCCGTTCCAGTTCTCGCCAGAAGAAGAGGAAAAGGAAACAGGAGAAAAAGAAAAAGGTGGAGAAGAAGACGCAGAATAAAAGACGAAATAAGAAAAAATAAGACGTAGGAGAAGAAAGAAAGAAGACGAAGAATGAGAAGAAACAAAACAAATCAAAGAAAAAACATCGGTGCAAAACCAGCTTCTGAAACCCATTCAGCTCCGACGACCGACAGACTCTCCAGCAAATCACGTTATGCAAATCGATTTCTCAGTCAGTTCTCGAGGAGCAGCACTGCCATGAGCCTTACAGAGAGACCCTGATAAGACCTTAGAATACCCAGATGAGACCTTAAAAAAGGCCCTGATATGACCTTAGAAAAGACCACCAAAAAGACCATAGAATACCCTGATATTACCTTAAAAAACAGAAGACCTTAAAAGACCCTGATGCGACCCGATAAGACCTTAGAAAAACACCACAGAACACCCTCATAAGACATTAGAAAAAAATTGTAAGACCTTATCAAAAAAAAAAAAAAAAAAAAAAAAAGAGGGGGAAAGGAGGTAAGAGAAAGGGTAGGAGGGTGAGAGGGAGAGGGAGAAGATGAGGAAGGGAGGGAGGGAGGGAGGGAGGGAGGGAGGGAGGGAGGGAGGGAGGGAGGGAGGGAGGGAGGGAGGGAGGGAGGGAGGGAGGGAGGGAGGGAGGGAGGGAGGGAGGGAGGGAGGGAGGGAGGGAGGGAGGGAGGGAGGGAGGGAGGGAGGGAGGGAGGGAGGGAGGGAGGGAGGGAGGGAGGGAGGGAGGGAGGGAGGGAGGGAGGGAGGGAGGGAGGGAGGGAGGGAGGGAGGGAGGGAGGGAGGGAGGGAGGGAGGGAGGGAGGGAGGGAGGGAGGGAGGGAGGGAGGGAGGGAGGAGGGAGGGAGGGGAGGGAGGGGGAGGGGGAAGGGAGAAAGAGGGAGGAGAAGGGGGAGGGAGGGAGAAAGAGGGGGAAAGGAGGTAAGAGAAAGGGTAGGAGGGTGAGAGGGAGAGGGAGAAGATGAGGAAGGGAGGGAGGGAGGGAGGGAGGGAGAGAGAGAGAGAGAGAGAGAGAGAGAGAGAGAGAGAGAGAGAGAGAGAGAGAGAGAGAGAGAGAGAGAGAGAGTGAGAGAGAGAGAGAGAGAGAGAGAGAGAGAGAGAGAGAGAGAGAGAGAGAGAGAGAGAGAGAAATACAATACCATGAGCATGGGATTCTACAAAATTTCAACTGATTTTAGATATATCCTTTGAACGAATTTCATCGTTGACGATTCAAAGATGATTTTCATTGCAAGACTGCCATTCATAAACCAAGAATATGAAAATATATGGCGATAATGATTCCCAAAAATGTAAAAAATGACAACAAACGTCAACAACAAAATTACCATAAATATTGATAAGTTACAAACCCAACCGTCTTTTGTCACCGAGTATGACCTGAACCTGATTTTCAAATTAATTTTGGCCAAGGCGAGTTGCCAGCTATCTCATGATGGCGAGTATCATTAATCTTCCCACTGACAGGTTGACTGAACGATAATAAATTCAAATATTGCTTGACGTTATATTTGAGAAAAAAAAGTGTCGGATTCAATTAACAGGCGAATGAACTAATCGTTATTTTGAATCAAATCAATAAAGTGAATATGAAGCAATCATATATAAAGAATATTTTGAAACTATATCTGGCTGTTATAAAAAAACGCGTTTAATCCATTTTGAATATTCAAGATACCGGCTCACCCTCACACTACTTAGGCCTGAGAACTGTCAAGAGCAATCCTATATTCCAGGTGGCAAGAAGTCAACGACCTGCCGAGTCTCCTGGTCTTATGAACCTAAAACACATGTTTGTATTGCATTTAATTTTCACATCAATACCTACCAAAAGCATGAAACATTTGCATAATGATGTGATGATGTATGAATCTTTATTTTATCTTTCTTCCCACGTATTAGGTTTTACTAACAGATGTATCCACAGTATCGTCTTCTTTCATAATCCAGTAAATTGTTTCAGGACAGGATTAAGATAACTTCGTAAAACCCAAAAGCAATCAATCACATGTCACGTGTCCCCCGGCGTGACCATTGAGTATCGGTAACGGAAAGGCCATTATGGGTCGTAACAAGCACCGTAGCAATGGTAGGCCTGCAATTACCCAAACAACGTACCACAGCGTCGGCATCAGAGTCATCACTGTGCTTCTCTGATGGTAAACGTGCTACTCCCACCCACTCCCACCCCCGTCTCAACCTACACCCTCGTCCACCCACCCACCCTCACCCCCTACCTCTCCCTGAAACCCCCACCCCTTACCCCCACTCCTTACCCCTACCCCTCCAACCCACCGTGGGAACGTCAACGAACAAAAGAAAGTCGTTTTCTAAAGTAATGGACTAATAACGCTGATTGCCAATGGCAGTCGGGGCGAATTATAAAATCAACTCGGCGGTATTTACGATGGATCATAACTTTGAAGGACTAAGTAGACGTTACGGCAATAAGCCATTCCGTCACGTCGATTGTTCCCGCGTTTGCCGTGGAGCCAAAACAATGTCGTATCTCGATGCGTCACGAAACAATTCACTGTCACACCTGGTCATTTCTCGGGTTTTAATTCTTGTCGCGATTATTCTGCAACGGAAATTGGGCCGGAGTTTTTTGCCGTATTCGAAACTTGAGCACAATGTTATTAGGTCATTAAACCATGAGCAGGTTGCACCCATTAACATCGCACGGTAATCTTCCTGCAAAATGATATGTTACCTGTGTCATATAACTGGACCTGTGTAACGACGTGACTGTCATAATATTAATAGCACGTTTAGCTTCTCAAAACATCTGTAAATAGCCTGAATAGTTGGGAAAATGACCTACCGATCGGAGCTCCCATCACAAGCAAGAATGTTGTATCTATTACTACAATAAAAATAATATACAGAACATGTATATATATCGCTGAGAGAGATATGAAAGGAAGAAAGGAGAGAGCGAGAGGGGAGGGAGGGGAGGGGAGGGGAGGGGAGGGGAGGGGAGGGGAGGGGAGGGGGGAGGGGGGGGAGAGAGAGAGAGAGAGAGAGAGAGAGAGAGAGAGAGAGAGAGAGAGAGAGAGAGAGAGAGAGAGAGAGAGAGAGAGAGAGAGAGAGAGAGAGGGGGGGCAGGGAGAGGAAAGAGGAAAGGGGAAGAGAGGGAGAGGGAAAGGGAGAAGGTGAGATAAATAGATAGATAGATAGAGAGAGAGGGGGGGGGCAGGGAGAGGAAAGAGGAAAGGGGAAGGTGAGATAGATAGGTAGATAGATAGAGATAGAGAGAGAGATGAGAAGAGGGGAGAAAAGAAGAGAGAACTGATCTTCCAATTAGCACTGCAAGCAACTCAAAGCTGTCAAAAGGTCTGTGGCACTTTACCTGAACTGCGCTGTTGAGGAAGCAGTTGTTCTGGCCGGGGGCGTTGAGTAATCCTTTGGCTCCTGCGACGGAATCCCGCGGGGAAGCTAGATCAAGAACGCCTGGGTCACGTGACGCAGGGTCATCCTCGAGAGCTTGACCTCTCGGGCTGGTGACCTCGTGGCGGGCCGGGCGTAATGTGTGTGTCAAAAGGGCGTCGGGACCTCGAGACAAATCGAGAGTGGCGTCGAGGGGCTGGTCCCACACAGGGCCCAGGTGGTCCCACGATGCCCTGAGCTGAGCCACCTGCGGCCTGGGACAGTCCAGCTGGTCCCAGGATCCTCCCAGGTGGTTCCTCACACTGGTAAATCCTCGGTACGAATCCCTGGGCGGGCTGAGCGACATGCCCGCCAGGTCCCTCAGCGACGCCCCGTAGTCTCGAGGGAGAGACTTGGCGACGTCTCTGTGGTCGTGGTGGCGGCTGACAGGCACGGGGCGCGGCGGAGACATGGGCGTGATCGTGGCCATCGTGGGGGTACGGAGGGCGGGCGTGGGCGTCGGCGCGGGTGTGGGCGTCATAGGCACAGTTGCCTCACACCTGGACCACTGCGAACAGCCAGTCTGAGCACCATGGTACCTCAGACATCACCTGCAAAGAAACAAACACGAGTCAGTAACGAAACAAAAACATATATTTTATTTGTCGTCTACAGTTTCCCTGTTTCTCGAAGAGCGGATGTTCACCACTATCGCTCTTCTACATCAGCACCGGATAAGCTCTATTGTCGCCAGACGTAATCTCCTGTACATCCTGGGTCTTGCCTGGACCTGTTCAACCACTGACACTGTTCTGTAGCATTGTGTTCCTTAAACTTCGCATCTGGAAATATGGTTTTAATAGTCTCTGAGAGACCATCCGAAACGTGACACTTCCTCCGTTATTTCCGTGTCCTTTCTAACGAGGTAATTCATTCTCTGATTCAGAACTAGAGCTAGGACCCTTCCTAACGCGTGTAGTACGTGACATTCTAACAAAGAGGGGTTGTTATATCTCTTCACGAAGTTTATCGTCGTAGTCTACATATTAATTTTAAACACGCGTTTGCGCCATTTCTTCACTTTTATTTTTACTTCACAGTTGGTTTCCATCAAACCTCTTCTCCTTCAAACACTCAACACTAGGTTTTACACCCTCCCTCCTACCTCCCTCTTATAACTCTTGAGCAATTAACATTAACTCCCAGTAAGAGCCAGGCGAAGTGGCTCCCACATTCAGAGCTTCTCCCAGTAAGAATCTGGTAAAGTATTCTCATACATTCAAAATCTCTCCCAATTTGGACCCACACAAGTAGTCTCCCACATTCACCACATCTCCCAGTAAGAGTCAGGCGAAATAGCCTCCCCATATGCACACCATCTCCTAACATAGTCTCCCACATTCACAGCCTCTCCCAAAACAGACCCAAGTACACTAAGCTCCCACATTCTCAATACAGACCCATCGGAATAGCCCCCCTCCCCTCCCCCACTGTCCCACCCCACCCCAACATTCAAACTACCTCCCCATCTCCCCATCACCGAAGAAGTAGGATCCCGCCGTAGTCTCCGCATCCTCGCCCTACCCAAGCGCCCAGGGCATCTCCCAGCCCCGTAATCTCTGCCCGGTATAGGAAAGTCCGAACAAGCGATGTCCATTAGATAGCGCATTGTCCGTTTCTCAGAAGATAACCATCTGAGGTAATCTCGTATTGTCCCTAATTGCTCTCAAACAATCGCTGTCGGACCCTAACTACCGCCGATCACAAGTCGAAGTCCTAGTTACGTATTTATGACCGTGCCTTCAACAAGGTGATTACATGTAGACATTAACTGTCCTGTTGTTTTATGCATGAGGAAACATTCGAATTTTACTTTCTAAAAACGGTTTTCTTGCTTAATATCATACCGTGCGTACGAAGAAAAGTTGGCATGAAAAATCAATATGGAATTAATATGTCACAGCAGCGTCGTTAATATACTAATATAATATCGAGCTGTGTGGATTATTTCCTGCATCATTATTCCATGGAAATTTAAAGTTAAATAAATAAATCGGTATGTATGTGTGTGTGTGTGTGTGTGTGTGTGTGTGTGTGTGTGTGTGTGTGTGTGTGTGTGTGTGTGCGTGTGTGTGTGTGTGCGTGCGTGTGTGTGTGTGTGTGTGTGCGCGCGCGCTCGTTTATTTACATAAGCACACAACCATACCCATGTAAGTAAATAATACATTATTCATGAAAGTAATACGTTACGAAAGTGAGGGATAATTTATGCACATTTCCAATCTATCAAAAGCCGCATTACAACAGAATTTCATGTGTTTGCCTTATTCTCATTTCCCCTTCAGATAGCATCGAACCGGGTACTCCTTCACGACCCGACCCCCCGCGGCCACAACCCAGGCGATAAAAGGAAATTTCAATTACACAAATCATCCCCAATGACTCCATGAGAAGGGGGAGAAGGAGAAGAAGAAGAAGAAGAGGATGGAGAAGAAGAAGAGGAAGAATGAGAAGAAGAGGAGGAAGAAGGAGAAGAGGAAGAAGGGGAAGAGGAGGAACAGCAGGAAGGAGAAGAAGAGAAAGAAGAGAGGAGACGAAGAGAAAGAAGAGAGGAGGAGAAGAAGAAGAAGAAGGAGAGAAGAATAAAGAGAAAAAAAAATCCTCATCCTTTCTGCCGAGCTCTGCCTTCGTCCATCACCTGCGCTATGACTACCACGTATATCACTGTCAGGTCACACCAGTGCTTAATTTACTTACCATTAACCCCGAGGTATCAATCACTCATGTCAACTTACCCCCCAACTCCTCCCCACTCTTACCCCTTCCCCCCTACCCTTTCGCAATTCCCCCTCACCCCCCTCCAGGCCTATTTCTGCTCCCAAAAGGAATATAAATGGACGCCTTCCCCTCCCCTCCCCCCTCAGGAACAATTTCACTTTCTTTCATTAATTAGCATTCTGAAGGTCGGGACGTAAGCCACGGCGGGAGTGGTGACGTCACGCCGACGGGATCCTCGTCACCGTCGCCTCTTTCCCTCGATCTGAATGAAGCTCTCCAAGGAAAACGGATGATTTCCTTCGATTGTTCGACTGGAGGGCGATGTGCTGGTAGATCTTCTTAATCCAGAATTTATAACAAGACTTCATCATCATATCATAAACACGGTAAAAAAAACAACAACACTTCGTTCGATCACTCTTGACATATATATACCTAGCGATATGTTTTCCCCAATGCGAGATCGAGAAAGAAAAACGAAAATGAAAATTTAATGGTCCTTCACGATGACTTACAACACATTCCGCTCGTCATCAATCAGCCCTTTTCGAAATGGAAGACTGGCTAATCACTCGGGGAGTAATTTCCCTGGGAACGCGAAAGATTAACGTCTCTCTGAGTGGACAAATACGTTTCCAAATCATCTCGTCGAACGCCATTACAGCATATTTGTTCTCGTCTGGAATTTATAAACATCGATTTCGGACGGACATGTCGATCTCCCGAAAGAATCTACACGTATTCATTTTCAGTAATAACGCTTCGAGCTATTTAAGAGCTAATCATATGCATATAATACTCGTTAACTAGACGGTGTAACGTCACAGACCCAATTCCTTCTAGACACATATCTATCCAAAATCTAGGGGTCATTCCGACGTTACGAAGACATACAAGTCTGTGGTCCATCTTCTCTTCTAATTACCTCCCTGGTATGCATAATGAATTCGGAAGGAATGCATAAGCCACACGGGGGAAAATGCGGCGGTATGCGATAACCGTGGCTGTAAGAACGCCCAGCATGTCGAGCCAGGACGTCACGGGCCTCGCACAGGACCTGGGATATGCGGCCAACACGCTATCTTGGTTTTCTTCGGTCGAAACTATGTCAATGTCGCTTTTCCTTGGAAGCCTGAGTTGCCTTTTTTTCTAAACAGAATTATAATGTTTTACTTGCACGAAAAAAAAATCTAATCAAAATTATTATAATTCGTATTTACAAGATATAGATACACACACACATACACAGACACAGACACACACACACACACACACACACACACACACACACACACACACACACACACACACACACAGACACACACACACACACTCAGAATGCAATTAGTAATAAGCCATTGCCTATGGACAACACGGCCAAAACTAGAAACATTAAATATACAGAACGATACTCCTGTTACGTGGGTGTTGACCCGACAGGCGACTCAAAATACACGACTCTCGCCAATGGAGCATTTGACACCTGACATAACATGCCTTTCACGCCAGAAAAATGAGACTCACTCAATATTTACCTACGAAGTGACATCAACCATCGCCGACTAAAAGACGTGACGACTGCTTTCATCTATCATTTGCGTCGCGACACAGACGGATTGCGTACAAACTTCCAAAATAAATATTTGCTACAGGCCTTCCTTAGTCAAGTGAGCTTTTACGTATTGGGGAATGTTGTTTCCGTGGCCGCGAGTGTGCCAAGAGGAGGGTCAAGTGGAAGGGAAGCCGTGACAGTTGCTATGACGAAGAGGGTATTGACAGTTCCGGCGTGTTGGCATCGCGATGACAAACATCCCCCCCTTACTCTAAATATCTCAGGCGTCATCCGCGTGACAAGCTCAGCGCGCCACGAGTCATACGCGCAGCGAGGTCTTCCCCCTGCATCCGATTCCTCGCATTCCCTAGCGAACACGACGCCTTGGCCCGTACCGACGGCGCTCTCCAAAGAGAAAAAAAGGTGAGAACGAGATTGGGCTCCGCGCCGGTAATCGAACAAGACATCAGGTGCTTGCAGAGGAGCCCAGACGACGCGAACACAAGGTTAGTCTGGCTCTCGGCGCAACACAATGGCCGGCGCCCGACACCCCGCCCGACCGCACGCATAGACCGACATCTGCTGCACTTTTAACCTTATATGGCCCTGCGGTGGCCATCGTCCGCATACACAAGTGGCCCCGGCTCCTGCTAAGCCCCTCCGCCCCGCCACTTGAACAACAGGTACAAGGATATGATTCATAGGAACAGTTCCACGCTGTTGGCGATACCACGGACAACGTTCAGGTTAGGCTTGGACTTCAGCAACAATGTGCATTCCGTGTTCCATTCATTCGTTCCAAGTCACGAGCAGCTAAACGAGGAGAAAAAAAGATAGTCCCAAAAGCCATCTGTTCAAAGATAATGCTAAGTGAGCCCGCAAAATCAACAAATACAACAGAAACAGTTGCAGAATGAGAAGGAAATCTACCAAGTCAATTTGCTCCTACTGTCTCGTCTGCACTGACCCGGCACAATGGACGTCTCAGAAGTAATTCCCTCTGCCCTTTCTTTTCTCTCTCCAAAACCTTATAGAAAACGCGTGCTCTATACACCTGTTCCTGTCCCTAGTTGGATCTATACAAGGAATATCCAGCGTGGCACGTATTCGAGGCTCCAAACAAAATAGAACACGTATTTGACATTCGTACAGTCTGCTTATCGATATTTCTAAATTTGAAGTGTCTTATGCCACTATGGGGTTGCCTACATTGCAATTCTCATTGCTAGAAATCAGTTTTACTCCCATCATTGTATTATCACAAAACTGCAACGGTAGCGG